CGATAAAAATGTTTGTAGAAATTAAAAGTTTTGTACATTGTCAAAGTTGCTCATGGTTGAGACTTCGGTACAATAACAACAAATACAGTGATTGATTATGAATTAAAGAAACTAAGGTGAAAAACACCACACGTAAAGTCAAATCTTTAGTTTAGTCAAATATTAACATTTTTATAAATTTTTCATATCATACCAAGAATTAGAAACAAAATCAAATTGGTAAAAGAAAATCAGAAATAAAAAAGATTTAAAAAGAAATAAAAATCACAAAATCGAGAAAAAAACAGAATTCAAATACCAAGTGAAGATGTCACTTTGTAATATATATTATTTTTATTGTTTACGGGTACAGTTTGATTTTCTTCATATGAAAAAATGTTATTAATTTCTAGGTTTGTTTATTTTTACTTAATTTTATTTAAGAATTTACTATCATGTGTTATTTTCAACAAAAATATTTTAAATCTTAATTAACGGTATATTCATATATTTATCATGACATTATATACTTTTACATATACATACATGTACACATTGATATGAGCGACTATATAACTAAATATTCACCAAAAGTAATTCTTATTGAAGTTGATTTTTTTTAATGTTTTCTTTCAGTATTGCACAAATTGTAGTGAAATGTTTTATTTTAATAATTTTATTTTTTTCTTCAAATATTTTTTAAATTATATTTGATTTTACATGTCTTAAGAAATTATGATAGGAAACTTAGTTAGACATAAAAATGTCTAAAATTTACATAAAACGAAACCAAATAAATAATAATTGTTTTTGGTAAATAGATTATTATCATCTAAAAATTTAAAAACATCAAACATTTAAATCAAACAAACCAAAATAAATATAGATTTAGAATGATAGTAATATTTTAGGTTATTAAAAAAACAACCTAAAACTGAACTAATATACATGCTAAACAAACATAATATCATTTTTATTTTAAAAGTAACAAAAATAATAATCTCATTCCACGCAAGGCGTAGATTATTACCGTGATGTATTATATTATTGTAGTTTGCTTTTTTTGAGCTGACTTCTTATCTTTGTCAACTCCCAATATTTTTCCTCGCCATTTCAATTTGGTATCATATCATTCTCAGCAGAAGGAAGCAAAATACCAAATTAAAATATCTATATATATCGTGTGAAAACAAGTTGATTAATGTATTTTCAACACCAATTGATAACGTAAGAAAATAAAATTTCTAGAGAAAAACGTTAAATAACAAACGTTGAGTCTTGAGTGACTTTCTCGGGATGTCTCTGTCTTTCTCTCGTTGAGTTTCCACTTGATTTTCTTATTCGGAAAAATATAAGACAAAACTTTTCTTACCTTAAAGGTTGAAAATTAAACCGTTGTTTGAAAGTCATCTCATTTGCACTGTTGGGTAGTTTGGGGAAGCTCACCGTTGACAAAATTGTATGCTGCTTTGTCGCATAAACCATGCGAGGATCAAATAACTCTAGGAACAATACAATAACAGAATAATTTTCCTTTGGTTAATTACCATTATGAACTCAAGTTTGAAAAGCAACAAAAAGCAAGACTGTTTGGAAAGATTTAGTATCGATCATACGAAGATGCAAGAAATCGGGACGAACTATTCAAATTAACCCACTTTAATCGAAAAAATAACTCATTCATTTAACATTTTCGTGAGAAAAAAAATATAACGTTTGGTTGGAGTTTGGTTTGGACATGCGCGAGTCAAATGGGATATTTCGAAGCTGTGAGTGACACGTTCGTGCACATATTGGATTTGTAATGAGTCGTGGAGCGATGAATAGTTTACTAGTAGAAAGCATCTTTCAGAAAAAATAAATATAGGAAAAATTATTCTCACACGTAAACCACATTCTGTGTAATTAGCATCTTTCAGAAAAAATAAATATAGAAAACATTATTCTAGTGTTTCCAAGAAAAAACGTTATTCTCTTACGTAAACCATTATATGCCGTAATTACACATAAGTTCCAGTTTCGTTGAATACTTACTATACATAAAATGAAAATACGATGAACAAAAACCACATACATATAAGTAGGGAAAATATATGTATATATGAGTATGTATAGTATCAAGTTTAGGTTTGGGGTTAGGGCCTGTTTAAATCACCATTTAATCTAATTGATCAATCACTTGATTATATATATATATATATATATATATATATATACTAGGTGATTTTCCCGTGCTCATGCACGGGCATGTATATTTATAAAATAAATATACAATAATAATTGATTGATATTTACTTTAGTTTTTAAATTAATTTATAGTTTGTACGTCTAATTTATATTATGATATTATATTACTTTAATTATATATATATATAATTTTAGATATGTTATATTTAGTCTATTTTATTGTTTTTACGGTCGATTTAGTTATCATTTAGATATATTGGATTCTATCTATTTCTCTGAATTCATATATAATCTTTTATATTTTATATATATTAAATTTTTGATTAATTGTCTTATTTGCATTTATGCTGGTTGTTATCTTAGAAATATAAGTATATTTAGTAAGACTATATATAACTTAAGATTTTTTTTGTGCTTAGAAGGAAAAAAATATAAAAACTAAAGTGTCTGATTCTAAATTACATACATAAGTANATATAACTTAAGATTTTTTTTGTGCTTAGAAGGAAAAAAATATAAAAACTAAAGTGTCTGATTCTAAATTACATACATAAGTAACTAATGAATTTTTAGAAGCTTTTGAACACATATCAATATTTACAATAATTAAAATATTTTATAAATTCTAAACAAATTTATGCTTTAAATTGATTGGATGGTAAACTGAAATTTAGTTTAAATATTAAAAATAAGGATTTTGATTTGCTTAAGTATTTTGACTATGGTTATATTAAGTTTCAATTCACAAACATAAAAACAGAAAATTAAAAATCAAAATATTTATTAAGAAAACAGATAATTTTAACTATTAAAATATAATATATCTACCCCGTTAAGTTGTATAATGTTATGGTATTTTAAAATAATTGTAATTATTTTCTTTTTTTATGTTTGTGAAACTTAATATAACCATAATCAAAATACTTAAGTAAATCAGAATCCTTATTTTTAAAACATATAATTTTAACTATTAAAATATAATATATCTACCTCGTTAAATTATATAGTGTTGTGATATTTTAAAATAATTATAGTTACTTGATCAAAAGATGTTTGTTATTAAATTGATTTTTAGTTTTATTTTTAGTATCTCTTAAAATATTCAGTAAAAAGAGATTGTTTTTGAGAAATTATACTATATAAGTAAAATAGAATTTATATTTTTACTGTAATTGTAAGATATTGTAGTCAAATAAATATACTAAAAAGAATTCCAATAATAGTAATTATAAAAAATGTCAAGTAAACATATATCAGTTTATGTTAGTTGACTATTTTATGTAATCATCCAATAAAATAAATAGATATATACAAAAATAATTATTTTGAAAATATATATATAAAGAAAAAATATTTCTTTTTCTAATAGGAATATTTTTTGTGTGAATTGTTTTTTATGAAATCACATTATATACAGATATTGTTTTTTTTATCTAAGAAGATATAGATATAAAGTATTTTATTACTTAAAAGGTATATTTTATGTTATTTAAAATATATTTAAATTAAATATTACTATTTTGTGAACTTTCCTTTTTTTTATTAAACCATATTATATATACCTATATTTTCGTTTTTAAATAGTTTTGTAAATTTTATAAATATTTCCTCTTTATTTTATATTGTTATTTGGAAATTTTTAAAAAGGAAATAATTTTTAATTGTATTTTTAATTTATTAAGGGTATCATAGTAATCAACCAGCGTGAGAATTAACGTGAGCGCGACACCTAAGAAAGTGACTTCTCAAATAATATTATAGAGATATATATATGATAATCATCTTTTCACGAACCTCAACTATATGCTCGGGCCTTACGTTCTTAACAATAAAAACATCACTTGATATGATTATAAGTATGCACTTAAGTAAAATTTACCCCTAAAACTATTAGTAAGCACTTAAGTTCTTATAAAAAGTTTATCGCTCAAAGCTAACGTTAATATCATGAACTTTAGCCCATAGCTAACCCTGAGCAACATCACTTGATATGATTAAAAAAATGATTATCATTATATATACAGAGTCAGACAAATCTAGTTGCTCAAACACTTGATTATATATATGTAGTCATCTTTTAGTCTGGGTGGGGGCTTAAAATATATAAATGAATAGTCCCAAAACTTGTCTGACTAGATTACCACATATTGGTTATAATTAACGTTCTAACTCAGATCTGTCTTCAGTTCTTATATTAGGTTGTGCGTTTCTTGTCTGCATATGAATTAATCTGTAATAAAGACACACCCGTACAGGCGTACACAACCTTTATAATAAGCCTTGTTGCCAACATAACGTGCAGGTTGCAGCAAAATTGATCTCTGGACAAAACAAAATAAAATATATACAAGAAAACAAAAATATGCAGAAGATGCGTTTTCATCTCTTGTGGGAGTGTTATTACCTAATCGATACAAAAGATGTTTGCCAAGTGGATATCACACGTGTGTTTGCATCATAATTGTCATCAAACAACATATGTTCCATCCGTTGAACCTCTCATGACTCATCCTCTTCACTGCATTTAGACCAAGATTAGTTATACAGGTTTAATTCGCAAGTTAGAAGAAGAAAATGAATTGAATTAAAGGTTAATGGTGTTTAATGCTTGATTAGAGCTGTTTAATTAAAGCTATGGAGCTAATGGAGATTTTTTAGGTGAGAAAAGCTAAAACGTGACGTTATTCCTGAAATCTAATCTAACGGCCGAGATTCATTCTCATCATCCAACCGTTCATAGGTATGACTCAGTCTCCTACTCTGTAATCATCTTTCTTGGCTCCTTCTCTATATAAACTTCTCTGCCTCACTCTCTGCTCTTCCCCTTTAGCGTTTAGACAGCCACAAAATCCCCAAAACCAAATCTTCTCTTTCCGTTCTCTCATCTCCGCCGTTGATTATCTAAACGGATCAATCTAACGATAAAAACAGAGCTTTGAAACTTCACAAGTTTGATCATTTGCTTGAAACAGAGTAAAAGGTCCTCTGTTCCTTGCTCTGTTTTTTCATCGATGAGGAGGTTAAGAGGGATCAAAATCAGAAGACCGTTTAAACGAATCACAAGATGGATCCTCCGGAAAACCCGACCCCGCCGTTCCAGATACATCCGGTTAAGCCCGAACCGGCCGGTTTGCAAACCAAAAGCCATCCAAAAACTCATAAGCTGGGGTCGGAGTCTCACATCACACAGCGCCAGGTTTCTCGGGTGTAGGCGATCAAACTCCGGATACATACCAATTGGTCAGGACCCAGTTCAAAATAAACCCGACCCAGTTCCCAAAGGTCACTCGGCGGTTTACGTCGGTAAAAAAGACGGCGACTTTCAGAGAGTTTTGGTGCCTATCGTTTACTTTAACCATCCTCTGTTCGGTGAGCTTCTGAGAGAAGCAGAGGAAGAGTTTGGGTTTTGTCAAGAAGGTGGTATCACTATCCCTTGTCCTTATTCGGATTTCAAACGTGTACAGACCCGAATAGAATCCGGGTCGGGTTTTGGCAAGCTTCCATGGAGCCGGCGCCGGCAATAACGACGACGGAAAAAAAACGGTAGACGATGATGATGATGAAAAAAGTTTAAACTCTTTTTTACTGCTTTTTAGCTTTTTACCCTTTTGTTTTGTTAGATATGCATGTATATGTGATAATGTGAAAGTGACATTTTTTTAGTATTAAACTAAAGACGATAGTCACCATACTGTAAATAATTGAGAGATTTTTCCTTTTCCGTAATTGCATGAGTGCTTTTGGTAGGACTATGTGATTATGAATTTAAGATTAAGATAGTGATTATAAAAGTGAATGATGAAAACGATAAAACCAAAGAAAAAGTTCAACACGATTCTATTAATTAATCTTTTGGACCTACACAAGATTTTGCTATCAATCACAATAATTTATCATTGTTAAACCCACTAATTCTACATACGCGTAGTTGAACACATAAGAAACTATAAACACGTATATTGTTTGAAGATCATAAGTTTTTCAGCATAAATTGTGCGTAGACTACTAATAAGTCGACATGCAAAGTTGATATCATTGACTTCCCAATTTGATTTGGCTACGAAAACACTCCCAATTTGTCAATTTGATTTGACTTCCCAATTTGATTTGGCTACGAAAACCACTTACACTCTAATGATTTTAGTTATTGGTCGTATATATCTTATTTCTCCAATCTATTAAATGGGCTTGATGATTGCTATTCAATGATATTTTCGTGCTAGTGTTGAGTTGTGGTGACTATAGGCTGGGAAAAGTTATGGGGGAAACTACTGCTAAAATGACATTTTGGCTTTCAAGTGTTCGTCGCCATTAGAGTCCCTTTCGGTATCTACATACGTAGCGATGGTTTTTAGTGGAGAAGAATCCACCAAGAATCAAGGAGTTTATAGAAATATGCTTCGGAAAATACCACAGATTCAGAGTATCAAAAAACGTAAAGAAATAGAAAACAGTAAAAACAGTAAATAGAAAACAGATAAACTATATGGCTCCTTCAACCGTGTTTTAAATAAAATATATAAGAACCGGTTTTTAAATAAAAGATATAAAAACTGGTTCTTAGCCAAGAAATGTATACTAAAAATTTATTTTTAAATAAAAAAATATAAAAATCGATTCTTAGCCAAAAAAATATTTAAAAAAATTAAATAATAAATTAAGAACTTCATCCTAAAAACCTTCAATAAACATACCTTTAGTTCAAAACCTCAACAAGAAAACACATAAGACCTTTTTCTTATATATGTTGTTTTCTGATTGGTCTGTGTTAATTTATTTAACTAAAAATTAAAATATTAACTAATTTGTGTACAAGTTTCTACTATTAATTTTGTGAGGTACGCTTGGAGAGATACTAACCGTTGAACACCTCCAATTTCAAGGTTTAGGAGGAGTTCTCACTATTTAAGACAACTTAAAAGTAAATGAACAATAACTAAAACAAGAGAGAACAACATAAAGTTCTCATTATGAAGCCTTCAAATAACCGGTTGAAAACAAAAAAAAAGACAGATGTCACTCCAACAAGATTTAAGATAATATAAATGAATAATTATAATAGTAATACTAGGTAATAAGTCTACTTCTCGTCCAAAATGTGATTATTAATTTTATTATTTTTAATAAGAAGATACTAAATCTTTTTAAATGGATATCAATTCAACTTTATATTGAATTTTTTTAATCTTCTAAAATATAACTATACTTTTAAATTAATATTTAATTTAGTTTGTATGGTTAAAATGTTTGACACAAATTTTTCGGGAGGCAACAATGTATAGTGAATCATAGCGGCGAGTGTGGCTGTATGGAACAATTAATGATATATTTTCGACGAAACTTTTATTTACTCTCATATCAGCCAATTTAAACCAATCAAGTGAAAAAGTTTTCATCCATTTTTACGCTAGTCATTATTTAAAAGGTGAGAAATGTTCCACCTACTTTATGCAGAGAAACTATTATGTTACGCTAGTTTTCAATTTTTCTTTTCTTTTATTATATCATTTACTCCACCGGTTTAACTCTCAGTCTCTCTCTATTAATTACTCTGAGTTACGCTGGTATTTTCCAATCACACTCTATAAGAAGAAAAAACGTGTTCCTTACTCATAGATCTTATAATAATGGACTGTTTATCATACATGTGTTTCTCATATCTGATGAGGCTATAACATATTCGTTTTCCACCTATAAATATTTACCTTAATTTATCAAATATAGAATATGATATGTGAGAGAATGTTGAAGGTAAAGTGCGAGAATCATAATATGAACAACTTAGATCTGATATTTAATAGAGTGTTGAAGGTAAAATGTTGTATTTTATTTCTTTTTTTAATTTCATTAAAACCAATAATGACATTATTGTTAGAAAATGGTTAAAAGATAATTTTCTAAAAAAGGTGAATGCTTTACATATTTTTTTCTTGGAAGAATATATATCATTCTCTCATTGTCTTTTGAAAATAGGACATTTCAACAAATGACCAGCTAATTAATATCGTAGAAGTAATAGCGGGTTATTGAACTAAATTCCTAAATTGCAAGATAACTTCAATGCCAACATATTTAGAGTGATCTATACTACAATCTCCGGAGACACTTTTTTTTTTTTTGGCATGTGTCTATTAATTTGGGTTTCTCAAAATAGGTAACAAGTTCAAGATTTTTAATCAACTCGAGTGAACCAAGAATATGTTAGTTTCCGCAGATGTGCGTTCAAAAACAACTTATCCATCATTGATCACTCTTGTCAAATTATGCAAACTACTTGTTGTGTTTTAAGTAGCGAAGCAAGTACAAACCCAACAACCTGGTCTGAAGAAAAAAAAACACTTGAGTTATGTTGGAGTTCAACAGTACTCTATTTCGGATGATGTGTTACCTTTGTCTCTGGTGGCTCTTTGCTTCGGTTGTTGTGGGGGTTATAGCAAAGGATAAGAAAAAAATTGCAGAGGGAGAGCTTAGTCAGACGCCGACTTGAGCTGATGGTGTCTGCACCTCATTCATTCTTGGGATGACGAAATCTGTATATGGTGAGCTAACATCAAAGGCGCTAAAGAAATGGAGAATGGCCATGAAAAATATATATGTAAACCTATTTCTTCCATCTATCAAGTTTGTCTTACTAATATAATAAACCTAGTACTTCCGTCTACCATCTTTGATTCTAACAATTAACTGAAACATTACACAACCATCAGATTTGATGTTCCTTACTAGGCCTGGGAACTCTACCTGATACCAAAAGCCGCACCCGAACCCGACCCGAGAAATCCGAACCGAAATAGCAAAATACCCGAGCTGGTATTGAATTAGTAGAGATTGGATATCCGAACCCGAACGGGTAATATCTGAACCCGAACAGTTATCCGAAAATAACCGAACATTTGATTATGCATGATATCGTAAGCAACAAAGTTTTGGATCTCTATTTATTTCATGTGGGAAACGCTTATTCTCGTCAAGCCTTATTATGATCATATGATAAAGTGTTTAAGTTATATGACAAATAATTTTTACATAACTTTATATTTTTTGATGGGCTAGAGGTACTACAATAGTTTATTTGGCCTATGCTATTGCAAATAATAAAACATGTGATTTTAACCGATCAAAACCAATTTATCGGTAAAAAAAAAGATAATTTCTCCTCTTTCAGAATCTATTGCGAAACTTGTTTATGGTGAGTATAAACTTGTTTCTGATTGTAGTTTTACTCTTTTGATAATAAGTTATTTATGTGCATATAAACTTGTTTATGGTGCTTACATGTTGCAAGGATATTGATGATGTATTGCATTGTACATCGCTTCCAAACGGGAACTTTGAACTTGGAATCTCTATCCTAAGAGTCCACAGAATCTCATTTATATATGATTCAACTTTCAACTTAGGGCATGTCAAGAGTCAATGAGTTACATATCACTTTTTAGTGCACATATAAGCTTTGAAAAGTCTCTGCTCCTCTTAATGTTTTGCCTGATAGTTTGATTCTATCATGACTATGCCTTTTAGTATATATTGTATTATGCCTTTCAGTATATATTGTATTATGTTCATATGTAGGAAATGAATTTATGATGTTTATCCTTGACCATATGTTAATTAGACATTGCGGATGTAACAAATTTTGTTCACCTGGTACTCCTTTGGATGATGAAGCATCAAAAAGAGGCACATTTGTCTACCTTGTTGACCGCCATATTGACATGCTTCCAAAGAGTTTAGCTGAAAGTAACATCTTTTTACATGATAGTTTCCCTTTATACTAGAATTTTAATGCACTAATGAAACATGTGTTTTGCTTGCAGATATTTTCTCCTTTAGAGGTGATGTGGAAATCTTGCATTCTCGATTATTTTGAAAGAAAGCACATGTATATGTATGTAAAAATATATAAAGGTGATTGATAGATATATAAAGATACTGTTAACTAATATTAAAAATATTTTTGTTCAAAATAACAATGAAAAATAAAATGTTTAAAATAAAATTAATTAAAAATAAAACATACATAGATATTAGTGATTTTTTCCATCTAAAGAAAATCAAATATCCGTAAAAAATAAAAATAATATATATATATATATATTCGAGATTGCTGCATTTTATTTTTTTGGTGTTTTGTGTTGTAACTTGGCGTATTAATTTTTAACATTAATCATTTTTTTTGTCGGCAACATAAATAGACTCTAAGAAGACTCTTCAAACCAAACTGGTAACTCGGCATCCATATGAACAATGAAAGACGGCTGCTTCCTTGCACTCCATGCGAGGCTTTCCGCCTTGGTGTTTAGCGTTCTTGGTATATGAATGATTTCTGAGTAAGTAAAGCTTCCTTTAAGAAGCTTTATGTCATCCAAATAATTTACAAAGGCTGGCCATTCCTCTAGTGCAGAAACCATCTTCACCACATGGATGCAGCCCGTAACATATGTGACATGATACTGATACAAATTCCTCATGCTTTCCATTGCCCATATAAGAGCTTCTATCTCCGTGTGTAAAGGCGATAAACTCGCTCTTGTGTTCCTTGCTCCCATTAGTCCTCGAAAGCCCGAAAGAGTATTATACCAACCCTGACCCGAGAATGTGTCCTGGGCTTTCCACGACCCATCCGTAAAGCACCACCTTCCAGGTATTTGTGGTAGCCTGAATGCGTCCGGGTCCTGCACCATCTGAAGATTTTGTGTTATAGATGTTTGAGCCTCCCACAATATTGCTTCCGTTGCTGCCAATCTCAATGTGTCATTAGGATCAACCTCAATGTTACTAAACACTTTGTTATTCCTAGCCTTCCAAATATACCATAAAATCC